ATTACACAATGGATTTATTCAATACTTCAAGAGAAGTATCTTATTTCTGGGCTTATGTCATACCAATGACGTCAGAGTTAGCATGCAAGTCAAAGTAAATCATTTAGCTGCTTCAGAATTCAGTTATACAATATCTATGAATTCTCCAATTAATGAAAAAACACCAGGCATCACTTTGTATATATCAAGTTCACTAGCTGACATTATTATAACAAGGTCTAATAATGTTCAAGTGATATTCTGATGTCTTTTCTTGGTTATGATTTATTGTTATAATGATCAACTCTATATCAATATTCCTGGTAAAATTAATTTCTAGATTCATCTTGCAATAAAAGACTTTATATTCATTCACCTTTTCCATTGCCCTTTTAGTGGAACTAACAAAAATTTCGAGGTTATTTCCCACAATTCCATAAATCACAACTAAACCAATCAGAAATGGCATTTGTGTATTTTATTTGGATCGTTAAATTTTCTAGATCAATGGGTTCATTTTTATTCCCGTTGCGTCATGTCTATAGAAAAGTTGATTGATTGTTTTATTTCAAGTGCTTCAAACATTAATATTTTATATTCCTCAATCTCAAGAACCTCTCACTGAGACACATTGTAATAAAATACTTTTTGAGCTTTTCTTCAAGTATGAAAGAAACAAGGTACTTTATATCTTGTTTTAATAGTTATCATGTATTCAAATATGGCCAAAAATAAGATACTTTATATTTTGTCATGTTATCATGTATATCTAAAAGAGGATCACTCACACCATACAGGTTTTACTTAAAATTGCAGGAAATACATCCACATACATGACATTTTGATTTATCAGACACTGTTATAAGTTCATGCAATACCCTTTCCAATATAGTAGTTTGATTTTGTTTCTTCAAAAGCGAGCTCTCATGTGTTATCAGTGACGGATACAGGGGCCCAAAAAATGAATTCTGGGATATTCCTACTTCTTCAGACACTCAGCGCACTCATGTCGTTCAGTGACATCAACCTTAATGGAAAAAGTAGAAACTGTGGATATCACAATGTATAAATAAAACTCAGTATAATAAAACAAAGAATAAATTACAATGTCCACTCACTAAAGCTCAGTGGCAGAGACAAGGTTACCACTATTGCTTGGCCCCAGGTTCGATTCCCGGTTCAGACAAGTTTGTTTGTGCGCTATTAATTCTGGGTGTTTGACTGAGTGGTTCCCGACTCGTATGTCTATGTACCCATGTACACAAAAGAACACAGGGTTCCTCCAAGGAGGGCTTTCTGACTCTGTCTTCGAGTGTAAAGTACTTAAAATACGGCATATACTGTACCAATGAGGTATTGCTCACCAAATATGGCGGTTACCAAGTTACAATACAAATGTAAATTGTGCTTTTTACTTCCAGCATTTATCCGTGGATAAATAGCTTCTTGGTAAAGGTTAATGAGTATTGTAGAAATCACGAAAAGATATGACAGAACTATTAATACTTTAATATACAGCTTATAAAAAGCACTAAATTATAGCTTTTAATCATTTTTACATTTATCACTTCGCAGAGCATGATGTTTCGGAGATTTTTTCTGCTGTTTATTTTGATAAAATTCTAGCCATGTCTATCTTGGTTAATCATGTGTGAAATGTTAAAATGTTTTTTGATGTTACGTGAAATTGATAATTTAGTATTACCATAAGTCCTTGTTCTGCTGAGGGCAGTGAATCTATTTGTAGAAATTAATTTGTTTCGATATGGAATTGCTCCTGGGAATGTTAATAGAGATTTGTTGAATCGAACATTGTTGATTAAATATGAGATTTGAGGAAAATATATGACCAAAGTATTAATGAAAACACCACAATAATATGGTCTTAAACATCTATAGTATGTATGTATATGTATATTTTTTTCCTCAAGTATTATAAGATATCAGAAATATAAAGCACTGTATGAAGGGAGAGATGTTTGTGTCTTTAGGCATATTTGTAAAAAATTGGAGATTTGTATGAAATATGAAATCATGGACTATATCTTTGAATTTCCAGCATTTGTGTAACCTCTTAACTATTTGGATACCATTTGCATTCGCTCAACTTCGCTTCTTAAAAGAGAGCTTCGTCTTCGTTTATAACTATTCTCTGCGCGCAGGGTACTATTTGGAAAAATCAATCAAGGCTTTCCTACCATACAGTACTTATAATACTAAGCCATGTTATCTAAGCCTACATAAGGTTAACATTTGTTGTTTTCCCCTTTTCCATACTATTTGATTGATGTGATTTCTTTATTTGTTTGGATTACTGTTTATTGTTATGTCACCTCCTAAAATAGTGACATTGTTCTAGTCTCCAACTTTTTTGTGGATGGGGGTCAGTGTTTTCCAGTGGTGTTGCCTTGTTACATATTGTTACCTTGTCCAACTTTTTTGTGGCCGTTTGTTTTCCGCGTTCTGTGGTTGATGTCTGTAACAAATGGCAGATGGTGACATTTTGTATGTTAATGCCTTGTTTAATGTATAGCATTACTAAATGGCTAATCAGTAATGCTAATGTAAGTGAATCTTATTATTGTTGCTTTGGTAAATTTAATACCTTTCAGGCTCTATTCCCAGTGTACGAATATAACATTTGTATAATAGAATTACATTATGTTAGCCTCTTAATGAGTTGAAAGAATAAAATGTATAGTTATTAGATTATGGTTTCTTGCAAGAAATGTATTGTCTGAAAACCTCATTTACTGAATATATATATAATATATATATAATCATCAAAATTCATCAAAATTACTGCTTGGGCAAAACCTGGTGTGGATAATACTTCGGTTTACAATATTGCAGATAAGAATGAAGAAGAATTGAATTGTAAGAAAAATGTTTATCATAATACCCGTCTCCTTCTCTAGATCTCTTCCCTTGGAGGAGATATAGAGAACAATAAGAGAGACCTGAATTTAATGCAAATCTCCTAAAAAATCTTAAATTTCTCATTTTACAAGTAGCGCTTGAAGTAAAGATAATCCCCTGTTATTGGATTTAGCTTCTTTACAGATGTAATTTCTATTGAAGTTAATAGCCTAGGAAACTAAGGCGCAATTTATACTGCTTTATGTCGGCAATTCGCCCGACATCTAAACACTGATTTTCCTTTCAGAATCTAATGGCTTCAGCGGAAAACATGAAAAATGTTTAAACTGTGTGGTTATAGTGCTGCAACAAGAAGATAATTCATTTGACTTGCTTTTATTTGAAAGTACTTTAATTAACGAGGATTATTTCATTGAATTTGAACAATTATCTTAAAATAGAGAGGAATGTTTGTTCAGCTAGTGTCCCTGTTATGGGAGTTTTATACTTGGGTAAAAATAATCACTAAATGGGTTTACCTTAGAAAGTAATGTGATATCTCTTAGTAGAATGACAATGAGGTTCACTATAGGAAATAAGAAATAGAAAATTAAGTCGTATATAAAAAGGTTTTCATCACACCCTTGGGAGCTTTTGCGTTTAATTTGACATTTCTAGGAATTTTCCTTGTTTGAGGATTTGAATTGAATCGTCTTTTGGCATGTTAGGTAATTTAATGTGACTATAAGGTTTTCTGTTGCAAATCTTGTCTGTTATGGCTTATCTTGACATTTTCAGACAAACCATTAATGTATTAATTTTTTTACACAGATTCTTCAAGATGATTTTTGATGACATTGATGAGATCTGTTGTCTTGTTATCCCATTGAACAGCTGTCCGTCTGTCTGTCAGTCTATGTGTTCATTCGTCCATCCATACATCTGTCCCTGGAATAACTCAAACTCCTGTTGACAGATTTGTTTCAATTGTTATAGGCTGGTACTTTAGTCATTAGACCTCTGTTCGAGAGAGAATTTTCAATATTGTCACTCAATTCAAAATGGCCACCATATTTTTGTAAAAACTCAAATACCAGTTGTCCATGCCTTGATTTTCCCAAAAGGAGAGAAAACTACCATGGTTATATCTTGAAATGTTCAAAATTACCATTGATTTGATAAAATATGTTTTGTTCGGTGGCATCTGCTATTTTGGGAAGTTGCTGTTTTTGGCACCACTAGATGTGGTGACATATTGTTAAAGTCTCTTTTTGTGGATGGCAGGTGGTAACATTTCGCATGTTGATACTTTGTTTAGTTATGTTTTACTTGTCACATAAACTAAGGTCTTGGGAGCGTTACAAATCAGTTCCATCCACTATTAAGTGTTCTTTGACATTTTGAGTGTGCACTTTATAAGTGTGATAAATAATGAATGAAGACTGTATTGGGACTAATTGACATACAATTCATAATAAGGTTTAGGTTTAAGACATGTTTATATGATGGTCTACCTCTATTATAAGCACAGTGGGATGTGAAATATATTGAAATTAATGTGTTCTCTCTACTTACCCTCCTAAAGCTGTCAAAATATAGTAATACTTTGGATTAGGCCTGGATCATAGTTATACTTTGGATTAGGCCTGGATCATAGTAATACTTTGGATTAGGCCTGGATCTGTGTTGAGGTACAGTGAAACCTGTGAAGTGAAACACCTCTAAAAGTGGAACACTTCTGTTAGTAGAACACTTTTCAGAGTCCCAAGACTAACTTAATGTTAAATGAACCTCTATAAGTGGAACACCTCCCAAGTGGGACAATTATTGGAGGTACCAAATGTGTTTTACCTTGACATGTTTTACTGTGTGTATGATTGCAAATGAAATGAAGTATTAATCTTTACATTCAAGATATATATTAATGTGTTATTTATTGTACCTTTTCATTTTGGTGTACAGTACGTAATATATGTGAATACTTCACTGAAGAAATGTCCCAATGATAAGTACATGTTCTAATCTATAGAGAGTCTATCGGTTAATCCTATGTTTTGAAATCGATTATTAAAAACAAAGTTATATTACCTCTTAATTTTCAGATAGAAGAATACATGGACCAACTTCCCAATCATAAAATTCCCAAACCGGGTAATCCAGGCGAGAAGGACCGTGAAATTCAACTGATTCTCCAACTACCGAAACAAGATCTCTCACCCGTGTATTGTAAACAGCTCAACGATGATATAGTAAAGACTGCATTTGAACAGTTTACAGAGATCCGGGATATTACAGCATTAGGGATAGCTTCTGTACAAGACTACCTCAAAGAAGATAAGGTATGTTTGATTAAGAGAATTATAGTTTTAGTTTATTAAAAGATGTCACCCTATATCTGATTAAAATTGCCATTTTCAAGTGTTAGCAATTAAGTTGAATGAATACCTCTTGTGTGTTCAATTCACTTGAAGGTCCCCTAATTGATGCAGTGATTGATACCATAATTGGATTCCATTTTCTGATTTCATTCATTGTATGTTAGGAAAACATCAATTAAACACTAAGTGAGAAAGTTAGTTTCGCCCACAATGTTTCTTTATTTTTTGTGGAAAAGTAGTGGAGAAAGAGGACAGAAGACATAAGTGTGGTTGGTGTTAAGCCAGTCGTCACCACATATGTTTCTCCCATCCTACATATGATTTAGTCTCAAGTAAATATGGTCTTTATCACTGTGTGTACATTTTCCCAGAATTGTGTGAAATGTGACGGGGGAGGTAGAAGCTTGTGTTATGAATGTGATTGCTCTTTAGGCAATTGACACCCCCAAATGTTTCATGCACACCGCATATGATCATTCCAATGTAAACCTGGTCTAACTCACCCTGTGTTTGTTGTTTTCCAGAATTGTGTGAAATGTGACGGGGAAATAGAAGCTGGTGACATGGGTGTAGTTGCCCCAAAAGCAGGTGACGACAAATGTTGGCACCCTGCATGTTTTGTATGCGCCACATGTGATGAGCTCTTAGTTGACCTAGTCTATTGCTGTAGGGATGATAGGTTATATTGTGAGAGACACTACGCAGAACTACTAAGGCCTAGATGCGGGGGCTGTGATGAGGTAAGAAATCGACTTCACTTTGTTTAGGGGATGTATGGAAGGGGGGGGGGGTGTCACAAAGCCTTGAAACGGGACTACATTCTGATCAGTCAAGTGCTATACTGAGTCCTCATTGTCTTGGCTGGTGATATAAAAAGCATAAGACAAGTCAGCTTAGTTTAGAAAATCGAAGTACAAGAAATGGCCTAGGTTAAAGGGGCAACAATTAGTGCAGGGGCCTTTCAATGATCATCGATCAGTGTCAAAATATATTTATGTTTGCATATTTCATCAAGACTAGCATATATTTTTAGTATCTTCAAAGAAACCTCCTGGATGAACATCATTTCAGCTGATATTCCTCTTGAAACATGGTGAATCTTAAAAATCTATAAGTGGGACTCCCTTTATAGAAGCCTTGAACAGAATTTACACTTCTTAATGCTGAAATTGAGAGTTTATCCATACATTTTAAGAAAATAGGTATGTCAAAAAAGATGTTAAGCCAAATATTGACCTGATAGCTCAGAAAAAATAAAAAATTTCGAATTTTCTCTCTACAGTCCTTGTTGCCCCTTTAAGTTGATTAATTTAGTTGATTCAATAATACTAGGAATTTGTGTAATTTGGCTATTGTTTTGGAAGTCTGGAAAAATGTTTTGAATCGTTTGTAGGGTGTGAAATTGGCCCTTCTTTTGCAATTGGGCACGTTCAGCCTTTACTATACTTTTTTTTTTTTTTAATTATTATTAAATTTATTTCAATAGAATACAAAAAATGTAAATACAGACATGTAAATTCTTAAATCGCCACAATGGCATTATATAAGAATAGGGGGCAGGTGGAAGTAGAAGTGGCAGAGCAGGCAGGGTCTTGGACTAGGGCAGGTGTGACGGGACTTGAGGATACTAGAGATGGATAAGAAGGAGGGAATTAGCTATTGTCTTTGATAAAATTAACAATGAGAAGTAGTATTTGGGAATTTGCATCTATGTTTAATTTGGGAATTCCTGTTTTCAAAATAGCTATGAAATCAGTTTGAGAGAGATTATGACTGAAGATGTTTGGTTCGAGATCAGTGAGTTTGTCCATGAATTGCTGTCTTTGTATAGTAAGTAAGTCACATTGAAAGAGAAAATGTTTCAGAGTTTGTGGTTTTCCACAAGTGCAATTAGGGCTGTCAATAGACTGAAAGTTGTGAGCGTAGAACTGGGCTTTGAAGTATAGGTCAGCTCTCACTTTATTGAGAACTATTTCTTGAACCCTTGTTAGATTAAGCTGGCTTGTTGACAAAATCGAGGGCGTTTTTTGGAAATGTACTCTTTGGTGTTTTTTAAAATTCGAAAGAGTATTCTTAGATTTAATAGCAGGTGGAAGATTGATCCAATTTGAAATTGCAGCTGGTATTGCTGAGGTGGAGAATCTATTTGAGCATCTAATGGGCATTTTAAATGCTTCATTATATCTCAATACTCTGTTTGCATGGTTTCTAAATTTGTCAAAAATATCAGTTACATAGGGAGGACTTGTACCATTTACAATTTTGAACATAAAGTTGTTAATCTGGATACTGCGTCTTGATTCAAGAGTTGGCCAATTGAGTAGGTTTAAAACCTTTTTTGAACTGCTCCCTTGGATACACCCAGAACAATAAAGTGCAGCTTTATAATAAAGACTGTCGAGTCGTTGTAATAGGAACTTTGAGGCTGTGCTGTACATGATAGCACCATAGTCAAAATGGGGTAAAATAAAGGACTTAAATATGGTTTCTAGATGCTTACTACCTAACTTATATTTAAGTTTCTTTAAAGGGTTCAACATTTTTCGTATTTTTGATATGATTTCTCCAATATGCTTGTCATATGATAAGCTTGGGTCAAAAGTAAATCCCAGATGTTTGTGCTCGTGATCTCTGGTAATTTCAACATTGTTTAACTTTGAAACAGAAACATTATCGACTTTAGATCTGGATGAGTGGAATATCATTTCAGAACTCTTTTCAGGTTTAAACTCCAATTTCCAGGTGTCAGACCATTTTTCAATTTTAATTAGGTTAGATCTGGCTATTGCATCTACTTCTTGTGGATGCTTAGGGTCAAAAGGATGATGTAGAGAAGTGTCATCCGCATAAATATAGCAATGCCCCTCCAGATTGTCTGGAAGGTCATTAATGTATAGGAGAAATAATATTGGCCCAAGTATTGAGCCCTGGGGGACACCACAATTGATAAAGTCATTTTCAGAATAATTTGAAAGTTCCCCAGATATCTGTACAGCAATTTTTCTGTTAGTAAGGTAAGATTTGATAATTTTTTGAATTTGCCCTTGGAAGCCATATGCTGAAAGTTTATGAAGTAGTAGCTTATGTGGTACTCTGTCAAATGCAGCCGCTATATCTAGAAAAATTGTTTTGGAAGCTTTTCCTTGTTCAAATGTGCTCTGAAGAAAATGTTCAATAGATAAAAGTTGATGAATAGTACTATGACCTGGTAAGAATCCGGACTGATGTTTGAAAAGAAGATTATTGTCAATTAAATGCTTCCTGATTCGATCAGCTAAAACTTTTTCAAATACTTTAGAGATACAGCTTAAAAGAGTGATAGGTCTATAATTGTTGATGTTTGATTTGTCATTCTTCTTAAAAATTGGGCAAACATTTCCAATTTTCCAGATATCCGGGTAGGTACACTTTGATAAAAGTTTGTTGAATAAGTTGGCTAAAGGTTTTGAAATGGTATGGGCTGTCAAATTCAACATTTTGTTTGTGATGTTATCTGGGCCACATGCCTTTGAGGTGTCTAAGGACAAAATTATTTTCATTACCTCAAATTGATCGGTCTGGGCGGAAATGAGTAGAGAATTAGTCCTAATTGGGAAATGGGGCAATTGATCAAAAGTTGCATCAGTATGATTTTTTGAGGCAAAGAAACTCATAAATCGGTTAGCTATATCAAGGTTGTTAGATAAGTCGTGTCTAGAGACATCATCATAGATACTAGAAACTATACTATTTTGTTAAACATTATAATTATTATCAAAGGAGTTATTCATCTTTCTATTGTTTGGAATTTCTTGTAAATTGATATTATAAATGTATTAAATACCATAAAGGGTCACCTTCACGTACAACTCTAGCTCAAGTTGAGGACTGTTCAGTGTTCATTAATAGATGGTGTGCTATACAGCTATGCTGAATGTTTCATTGTATCATTGCATAGAGGAGAATAAAATTACTTCAGTTTACATTGTAAATTATAGCTGATATCTGTAATGTCATTACAACAAGGTGAACTTATGTCATTAGGAATTGAAATTGTTGTATTTTGTCAGATCATGCATATCACATAAACTTTAATTTTCTGTCTGTCATTTAGGTTTCACTGATTGGCCCATATATGTGTCACTGTAAGTACTTCAGTAAAAGATGCATGGTTTTATGGAATGCATTGAATAACTGAAAAATATGATACCATGTACTAACATAGCCCTACCCACACCCTTTTTGAAAATAGGCTATTTTTATCTGCATTTTGCCACATTTGGCCAAACAGAAAGGATAACTAGTATTTGTATTTGCATGACCTTTGCACTTCCATTTTGATATATTCAAACTGAAACATTTACTAAATATATTTAAATTAGGTTGTGTATGAGTATACTGCTATTTCAGTTTAACATGCAATTTATGTAGATAATGATTATAGATGGCAGCATCTGATAAAATGACAACTATTGACATCTATTTAAGTACTTTAAGTTCAATCACACTAATTGTTAAGAAAATATTACTCATTTGGCACATCTGTAATGAAGCACGCCTGTTGAGAATTGTCAGTGATCTCCCCAGGATCAATGTAAGTGATGGGTACTGCAAACACTGGAAATTTTGAAAGAGGTTTGCAAGCATCTGAAATTCCATTTGAACCAATTTGAAGATGAGAAAAACGTGATATTTTGAACAAGTTATTCCAAATTATGAATTTCACCAACTCACAGAAAAAGCTCTGTGGAAAACACTGACTTCTATTTTTATCAATTTTTGAAAAATTGGCATGTAGCACTAAAACTCTGAACTTATTTGAAAAACATATAATCTTAACTGTGAACACTTTGAATTTGTGAACACCTTTTAGATCCATATTTTGCCAGCCCTGGCAGACAGGTTGTACTGTACATACATCATATCGTCAGATCTTGCCAACATTGTTCAGGTATACATGATATATGTTCTGAGACTTCAGAATTACGCTTGTTTCACTGTACATGCATGTTTCTTAGAGGCGGTTAGAGACATCGAGATAACTGCACCCCCTTTGTCTTTAACTTTTCAAAGCAAATGACAGATAAAAGGGGGTCTGGTAAATGAGAGTGCATCAGAGGCAAAAACTCGTGAGTTGCTCGGACAGCAAAAGCTTTGTTATGTTACCACCAAAAGTGGTGTCATATTGTTATACTCTCCAACTTTTTTGTGGATGGTGTCTGGCATTTGGCAGTCATCTTCTGTAACAAATGGCAGGTAGTGACATTTTGCATGTAAATGCCCTGTACTGTATTTGACACATAATTAATATGTGATATTTTGCCCATGGGCAGTATTGACTTATTGAGTGTGGTTGGGAGTCAACAGATAAGAGGTCTCATCATATTATACATTGATCACTATTCCGTTTCTAGGTCCTCGAGTGCTTGATTATTTTACGGAGGTGCTCTTCAAATATTTACCAAAGTTTATCTATAGATACATGAACATTACTGTATTCCTGTGCTTGTAAAAATATATTGATTATATTAATAAGATGCAAATATTTCAATAAGCTTAATAAAAACTGCTAGAACCATATACATGTACATGTAGTCAGTGAACAACATGTAATTTGTCCCTCAAGTTTTTGCCGATATATGTGAAGCTTTTTATTCGGTCATGGAATTTTACAAAATGTTGTGGCGACACATAGGAAACCTCCAGATGCCATATGAAACTGGAAATTGAATGCCAAAACTCCATCATACATGATATATTT